CCTGGAAATAGCTCACTAGAATTCCAAAATAACCTGTGTCTAAACTTTGTTCAAATACTACCAAAAAACCCTAAGAAAATAAACAGCCAAGGCCTGGGTATTAATATTTGTATTTCCCTCAGAAATATAGACACTTCTAGCATGGAATGACAGTACCTCTTTTACAAAAAACAGTCTAGTACAGGCTTAAGTGAAGTACACATTTCTGATTGTCAGGATAGATAATATCCAAGTAACACAATAAGGCTGACTCACAGAGGGCAGGACACTGGTTCACAACGTGAGACTTGGCAAGCAGGGAGGAAGGAAACCAAGGAAGAATGCCTCAAACATCATTATTTTCTAACCTCCAAATAATTGAGCTACTTCACCAAACTTATGCTTGTCAGGATCCAAAGATTAACCTAAACTCAAGTACGTTTAGGGACATCTGTGAAAATCCATCATCTTCCAAACTTCCTGAGCACAGCAGACAATGAGCACAAAGTACATTGTTAGCTATTAAGATCTAAGATCCTGGCATTACTGCACTTTCCTCTGATATCAAATCTGATAGCACAAACTAGGATTGAGAATGTACTCAGGTCAATTACAATTATATTTAGCAGCATGATAAACTAAACAAGAAAACCCCCACAAAATAGTTATAATTAGATTTTGTCTTGTGAAATCCAGTTCTGCCCTTCACTATATATTCAATAAATATATTAACTTTTCTTTCTCTGAAAAGAAAAGTAAAAGTGTATTAGAATATCATGCTCAGAACCTGATAGAACAAGAGTTTTTGAAACAGCAAAATCAAATCATTTTAGAGCTGGCTGCAACATGTTCCCTAGCATACCAAGAAATGTTACAACTAAATTGAAGTAATTTGATTTTTTTTAATCCATTAGATAACGTATTCTGTTCAAAATGAGAGACTCTGCTGGATATTATAACAAGTTCCTATTCTATCAGTTAAGCATTCCAAAGAAGCAATATCTATACAAAATGCAGTAACAATGTCCTGAACCATACTCCTTGAACCATTACTTGCAAAACTCCTCCCCCAAAAGGCAACCTCTATATCTTGCTATGGAACAGCATTTTAAAATCTGATCAGACCACACCTATTCAGATTTTGCTATGAAAGAACCCAACTAGCCACCCATCTTAAATCAGGGGGTGTGGAGGGGAAGAGTTTAACTAGTAGAATATCAACTCCTCAGTAAAAAAAAAAAGTAGTAGCTATGATCCTCTGCATCCAAGGAAAGCAACATTCTAAAATTTTCATGCCTCTTAATTTGCAATCAAAAATGGTATATAAAAATGGTAAATCAAGAATCCTATTAAATAACAAGCAAGAAATACCTGTTTTATAAGGAATATTCCACTGCACAATAAGCTTATCTCATAGGGGAAAATGTTTTGGCCTGCAAAAAACATGGTTCCTGTTACCTTGCCACATCAGTATCTAGTTGTCATCCCTCATTTCTGAAAGGCAAAACTCAGAATGTTTACATGGGAAAGGGCTCTGCTGAGGTTTACAACCCATTAGTTTGTGGTAAATCCTGGATTCTCTAATTAAGTAATCCTAATAAAAACAGTCTGAAAATGCTTAAAATACAGACTCTGTGTTTCTCTTGTACATAGGATTGAAAGAGTGGTTATACAGATTGAGAAAGACTGGCATAGGTGTCAAAATGGTTATTTAAAGCTGCAAGTACAAAAGCTGTTATTGCTGACAGAGAATAGGAAACATTGTGCTTCATGAACACCTCACACATTCCATATAGCATCTCACACCTTCTTTCCAACAGATAATCTTGATTGCAAAAGCAGCACTTTAATCAAGACCATGCATTTTATGTAGACAGAATTAGAGAAGTCATAATTTAGTAGAAAATAATTCTGAATTTTGCTTTACAGCCTTTTTTTTGAATCAGCTATACTCTGAAAGACTTCAAAGTTGCAACAAGGTAAGACAAGAAGGTTCAGATAGTCTTTACTGACAGTTGATCAGCTGTTGGCCACCAACTAAAACATTCCCTTCCACACAATTAGTCTTGAAAACAACCTTCTAGTTTACCAGAAATGAGGGAACCTTTCACCAGTTTCAGAGGGCTCTACATCTCATTCCCATTGCTAAGAGAGAACACAATTTTTCTGAAGACTAGCTACAATGAATGCCCAAGAGTAAACTGTTCAGTCAGACTTCTACAGGGTAAGCAAAAAAAAACAAACAGCAATAGGAGACTTACAAGTAGAGGTACATTTAAATACTAAAGAACCTGGAAGAGACCATATAAAAATCTTTTCCTCCTGCTCCATAAACAATGCAGTAATTATTATTATCTCGCTCAAAAGCTGATCTGAATCCAGAACCACTTACTGATAGGAAGCAAACAAACCAACTCAACCACTAACTGTAGTTTACACAGAGGTAAGAATGCCCTTTTACACAACTCCTTAAATTAAGAGCGGACGGAACTAGAGAATTAAGGTCTATTCTACCCAAACTAACATCTCCATTATTTAGAATTTCTAAATTTCTCCCTCAGTGCACATCAACATTGCTCAACTTCGATAACAAAACTCAACTAGTAATTTCCTAATGTTCCTATCTTTGCACAACATAATATAACCAACTAAATACGTTTTACCACTAAAGATTTCTCCTCATCTTGCCTTTGCCAAAATCCATCTCCCCTCCAAATCATGTATGTTTGAGCCAAACACAAGAACCACTTGGCAATATTCTTTAATACCTGCATTTCCAAAGACTGAACACTCCTGAAACAAAGTATGAATATGAAGATTAATTTAAAGCAATAATTAAGGCACAAGGAAAACCAGTAAAAATAGATTTTAAATGCATGCAAGATCCACTCCAAGCAGCAGAGTATTTACTAGTAGTACCTACACATCTGTATAAATTAATTCAGCTGCAACTTCCAGAATTAAAGCAGATACTAATTCTGAAATTAAGTTTCATATTTTTAATAGGCCAAATAGAAACAGCAAAGCCACATTTCACTCTGAGCATTGTTAAAAATTGTAATGATCTACTGACATGTGAAAATAATTCCCCTCTAAAAAAATTCCCAAAGGCTTCTTCCCAAGCACCACATTGAGAGCAGATGGCCAGCATTAAGTCTGCAATTACCCGTCTGGCCTGGCAGTCCCACATATCACAATGATACTCTTTTCCTTTTGTGGATGCAGGGAGGTGGCAGCTTGAGAGATGCAGGCAACTAGTATCATATGAACAGTACTTTCCACTAAAAAAATGTACATATACTTTCAGTTTCCAAACCTGTCATAAGCTCCTTCAGTTAGTTTTCATTTTACATTTAGGTTTCCCTCCATTTTTCATTAATGCTTTATCTTCCTGCTATGGAAAGTTCTTCAAACAAGGTGGCAAAAAATACATAACATTAAGGACACAATAGAAAAAAAAATAATCACCAAGCATTGCCAGAGGCACAAACTTAACGTAACTGTTGTTGCAATTTTCCCCCTCTTTATTTTACTCTCAGAAATCCCCAAAGTAGCTTCTAAAAAGCATACAAATGGACAGTGTGCTATCTCTCACCCCAGCCCCCTAGAACAGTCCTTCTGTTCTCCTCCTTAGCCAGGAGAACATCTGATGAGGAGCTGCTGTTCCATTTCCTTCCCTTCCTTCCACCCCTCAAATGGGGAAGGCCTCAAAGTGGGAAAGAAAACAGCATGTTTTCAATGCTGTATCCTAAAATACCACTATGCAATACTTGGGTGACTCTGATTGTTAAATCTGTAAGTATAGACACATGAGAAAGCTTTATTCCTCAAACTCCTTTTTTTTTTGAAAAAAAAAGTAAAAGTAACAAGGCTTCTGCATTAATAGCCACTTACTATTTCAGTTTTACACCCAAGAATTTTAGTATTTGAGTAAAATCTTGATTTTGCCAAAGCCAATAAAGGTTTAGAAATGTAAGCAGAACAAAAGCTATGAGGACTCTCCTACCGAGTTCCTTTCCAACTGACAGATGCAGGAGGAAGAGGGTGGAAAGGATTTCCTCATGTGCAAAGAGGCTTGACAGACTTAACTCCGAAGCATTTGGACCTCTCCTCAGGAATGCTTAGCCCCCCTACAGAGACTTCTGTCTCACATTGATTCAGCATTTCTTACCCCATTTCTACTAATTCTTCCTCATTTCAGCTATCCCTCATTAAAAATTTACCAGGCATAGAGAGGTACTGGAGAAAAGAAAAACACAGTCCCACTGCCATTACTTAAGTCTCAAAAGTATTACTGGGAAATAAGGCTGTGCAAGAAGAAAATCTCAAGCTTTTGTTATTGCCCTGCCTCTCTCATTCACGCATTATTCCAGTGACACATTCCATAGGAAGGATGCCAGCATTACAGAAATGCTGCTACCTTAAAGGCTAAACCCCTCCCTGCTAAGATCAACTTTGATTAACTACAACTTAGTCCAAACTAAGTTTTAACAGTCTTTAGATACTGTCAGTTTTCTCCTTAAATATCTGTGTCAATAGCCATACAGTAAAATATAAACATTGCTCCCACCAGAAGAAAGAAATGAGAACACAACACACCCCATTTTCCTGCCAGTCCTAATAAGTAAGCCTTCTTTGATGACACACACAATAAATACCAAAAAGTGCTGTCTTCTCATCAATTCCCTCTAAAAGTTTTTCTGCTTTTACCACACATTTATCAAGTGCTGGTTAGTAGGGGATATTCTCTGTATAAATCTGGCACTTCTTGTAATTGCAATTATCAAAAGATCTAACACAATTACCCACTTTGTAGCAGACATGCAAGTTAATGCACACAATTCATGCAGAAATAAATTAATTAAACTTCACCAAAACAATCACTTGGTCCAGCCAAGAAAACAAAGAACTGTGTGTTCAACAGCTTCGGAAACACACTGTTATTTTGGGAAACATACCTTTAAAGCCTTTTGGACTGTTTCCTTTTCAGAAACATCCAAAACTTCACAGTGGCAACTCACCTTCCACACTATCAGAACAGGAGGTACCAATCCCAGTGTCCCCGCTGTCGGAAGCTATACTGTGTCTTCTGACAGGATTGCTTTGACTGCTTGATGAAATGGTTGTGGGCTGCCACAGGGATTCAGTACCAGGTAACCATCCCACTGAGGAATAATCTGAGCCTATAAAGAAGGAAGCCAGAAGTCTATCATTACAGGTAAAGTACAGAAGTCAATAACAACATACCAGTTATGACAAAAAAATTAATCCTATGTTTAAAAGCTCAGATCTGAGACAGACTCTGTGCCAATGTTTTGTGGTGGGTTTTTTTATTGTTTTTTTTTTTTTTTTAACTTAAAATTCTTTTGCTAGGTGGAAGGTTCCCAAAAAGTTATATTTTTTACTTCTTAAAAACACGACCCTTACACACTGTTCTTGCACTAACTTTAACAAGACATTTCATATTACATTACAATTCTTATCCTGCAATTGATTCTCCACTCACAGCAGAATTTAGCATTACAAGTGTTTAAATATAATCAGAGATTAACAAATTTTAGGACAGGAACCAGTTGAAGAAGATTTGGCCAGTGAAATACAATCATTTTCAAATGTGCATAAGCCACATGACCTAGGCAACAAAATAAAGCCAGCAAATAAACTGTTAATGCTGATATCTGAAGTAATTCCTTATGCTTCACTGCTATTCATAGCTTTCAATTATCAAAAAGACAGACTACCAACTCAGGCAGGCACACAACAGCTGCACACCTCTCTTTGTGAGATATCTATCAATCCAGTTGTTTGCTTAATTTTACTTAAATTCTAAAAACTAAGTTACCAATGGTTAAAAGTATTACATTTCAAAGCACAATTCAGACTAGCAAATAGTTCCTTTGTTCAAGGAATATTTGAGAATGTGTGGACTACTTTATAGTCAGTCTCCAGGGAAAAGACACCACTCAGTACAAACCCAGAGGACGTCCACAATTTACAATAGCCAATATCTGTATCTGAGCATGATTTATAAGCATAACACTGATCATCCTGTCTGTGCTCTAAACCAGCAGAGCCACATGAAGAACCTGGAAAAAAAAAAAAAGCAGTCTCTCCTGATTTTATATATATCACACACACACACCCCTTCTAGCAGTTACTTTGCTTAACAGCAGGAAATGACTCATGAAGTATCAGTTCACATACAAGGTCTCTTATGCTACATGTCGTTATTTTTAGGTCATCTAAGCATTTTCAGCAGTGTCCATGAAGTCCTAATAGCAATTTGCCTCTGCAATAACAACGACAGATCATTGCTATTCCCAGCTGAACTCCTTCCCAGTAGATTAACTAGTTTAGAAACAGACTTAAAAATGGATACGTGTGTATACACAACCCCAGCCACGTACCCATGAATACATACATACTCCCCATACAACAGTCGAATCACTACACCTACTAGCCAGAATGATAACACCTGCTTGCCCAGCCATGTGTAAATTGAGGAATACAGTACACACTTCTTTACTGTATGCACTACTTAACTGTAACATGACATCAAAGACAGTCTACTTTCTCTAAGTAGGTTCTTGGAGGCCTCAGATATGCTTTACCATCTTATTTGTCTCAACTTCACTCTCCCTTGAGGTTACTGCTTAGTCTTCCCTTTAACATACTTTCCCGTCTTCTCTTACAGTCTTTGGTATCACTCACTTCTCCCTCCCCTTCATTCTACTTTAGCTGTACCTTGTGCAATGCATTTCCTTCCTTAAACTTTTTGCTTTTCCCTCCAAAAAGTCTCTCAATTATTCCTCTGAGTAGCTATCAAGTTCAAGGGTCAGGTAGCCAAACAGAAGACCAGAGGAGTCAGACATGAACACAACTGCCTGTGGCTCACCCACAGCTCACCAGTCACACTCTGTAAAGAGGTCCTAGACAAGATCCTGAGTGAGTAACACTTCAGGTGTCATTCTTAGCACCATCCTCTGTATCATCATCTAACGTACTGAGATGTGATAGTTTCACACACAATTAGGGGGAAACTGGGATGCTTCTTCCTCTCTTACCACCCAGCATTTTTTTTACTAAATATTCTGGCTGCTTTGGGAACAAAAATCTTTTGTCCATCCCTCTAAATAGGTCTACTTTACACTAAGCTTCTACTTCATGCTTCTCAAGCTGGACCTAGTTACTTCAGCAAGAGTAAAGATGACTTATATGGGAGCCCAAGCTAATTAAACCAGTGACGGTTCTGATTCAGAAGACATTTAAAATAAATGTAAAGAAAATAAATTTAGTTTCATTTACCCTTTATTATGTCATTGCCCACAATGCATCTCTGTGGTGACATTTCAGCTTTTACATCTTTAAACAGGCGTCACACGAAATGCAGCAGATAATGCTACCACGGCTGCACATGAAGTCAACACAACATTAAGTGTTAAACTCCTAAGCCCTCTTCAATGGAGAAGTGTGTTCAGTACACAGACCTACAAACATCCACACACAGATCCCCAAGATGGAGAGATAAAGCTCCAAAGTGAAAAGTGAGTAATGAAAGCTAAAAATAATACCGAATGATAGAGTAACTTCAGCAGAAAAAAAGAGTAACTGCAGCAGGAAAGGATGTTCAGAGGTCATCTAGTCCAATTTCCAGCCTAAAGCAGAGCTAATTAGATCAGGCTGCTTAGGGCTGATGTCCAGCTGAGTCTTGAACATCTCCAGAAGCACAGGTCCCACAGCCTCTCCAGGCAGCCTGTTTCAGCATTTAACCACCGTCAGCACAGAAGATTCTCCTAACATCTCTCCTGATCCAGACTGTGTTTGCTGCAGTGTATTGCAAAAGATGCGACAATACAGCACACCTAGACTCCGTGAAAAAGGCTAACGCTCTGGGAGGCAGACAGTCATTCCTATTAGGATCTCTATAGGTACTGTAAGTTGAGGAAACAAAAAGCATCACAAAAATCCCTACTATAACATACTCTGAATTTTACACCTACACGCAGACAGCCTGGGGACACACCAAGCCCCAAGCATGGCACTGAAGCAAAGGTCCAGGAGAACTTGCTGACACAAAACAAAATAAAATAAACACTTCCTGCAGCAACTTTGCATCCAGAGGCAGCACAGCATTCCCCAATAAAACCTGATTCTTGAGCTCGTAGGCCTGGAAGAGGCAAGTGCTGCAACACATGCACAGCTACACAGAAATCAGCATGAAGCCAGCAAGAGTTTATTAGCTTTGGCTCTGCACAGGCCTGCCAGATCCCATCTGGCTCTCTAAGGAAATACTCAAGTCTCTCTGCACTAGCCTCTGGGCTCCAGAAGAGTCTCTTAAGTCAGGCACTCCCTCTCCCCAACCCTCTGTAATGCACAGCTGGCTGTGCACAGCAGGAGTGTGCCGACGCTGCCACCACTAGCACTTTGCTTTTTCCCCTTACAGCCACCCTGTACACAGAAGCATGGAGGGGGGTTGGGATGGAGGGGAACAGTCTCTTTCTCACTCACTGGGCTTCTACAGTTCAGGAGCTTCTGCATTTAAAAGGGGTATGTCCCCAAAAAAGATAATGAAGTTGAACAGGAACACTGTGTGGTCTTTTAAACCTATTTCAAGCATGCCTTTGATATATATATATAAAGATATATATATATAAAGAGATATATATATATATATAAAGATATATATATATATAAAGATATATATATAAGAATATACCTGCATGGGAAAACTTCAATAAACACTTTCTCTTTGCCTCCCACAGAAATTCTGACACTTGCTAATGTGTGTCTTTTATTATTATTAGATAACTAATGATGTATTCCAGGACTCTAGACTTTTAAAATATTTCCTGGTACATTTGCATTGTTGTTTTACCTTGCTGACCAAATGGTTATTCTGCGCAATAAAAGGCCATTACAAAAATGAATTGCCTACACAAAGGCATTTCAAAGCTAACTGAACCCATTCCCTCTTGAACAGCCAAAAAACGGCAACAAGGTGGTACAGATGAACTCAGTAAAAGTCTCAAAAGCAAGTCATTTGTATTGAACTCAAAGTGCCAGACAGAAGACCACCCCCCAAATTGTTGAGGGAAGGTAATTACACAAACTCCAATAAGGAAGCATAATCCAGAAAATAAGGCCTTATAGAGCTCATTAGTCCAACCCATTATTTAAATATTCTTTTGCTAGTCCGTTATTTGAAACTGACCTTCAGATCCACGTTCTAAAGAATCACCAATCATGCATGCACCCTGTTCTATACTCATCTCCTTTTCAACAGCTCTCCATAAATGTATAATCTTTCACACAGCAAAGAGCCTACTCTAAACAAACCACGCTAAGAGGGGAGAAGACACACAAAAGAGAGAGATATATATATAAAGATATATATATATATAAAGATATATATATAAGAATATACCTGCATGGGAAAACTTCAATAAACACTTTCTCTTTGCCTCCCACAGAAATTCTGACACTTGCTAATGTGTGTCTTTTATTATTATTAGATAACTAATGATGTATTCCAGGACTCTAGACTTTTTGAATATTTCCTGGTACATTTGCATTGTTGTTTTACCTTGCTGACCAAATGGTTATTCTGCGCAATAAAAGGCCATTACAAAAATGAATTGCCTACACAAAGGCATTTCAAAGCTAACTGAACCCATTCCCTCTTGAACAGCCAAAAAACGGCAACAAGGTGGTACAGATGAACTCAGTAAAAGTCTCAAAAGCAAGTCATTTGTATTGAACTCAAAGTGCCAGACAGAAGACCACCCCCCAAATTGTTGAGGGAAGGTAATTACACAAACTCCAATAAGGAAGCATAATCCAGAAAATAAGGCCTTATAGAGCTCATTAGTCCAACCCATTATTTAAATATTCTTTTGCTAGTCCGTTATTTGAAACTGACCTTCAGATCCACGTTCTAAAGAATCACCAATCATGCATGCACCCTGTTCTATACTCATCTCCTTTTCAACAGCTCTCCATAAATGTATAATCTTTCACACAGCAAAGAGCCTACTCTAAACAAACCACGCTAAGAGGGGAGAAGACACACAGGATTCCCCATGCTGCTCAACCAGCACACCTGCTTTACCCTGCTGCTCTAATCTCAAACCTGCCAATCAACAGCTACTGTCCATCTGTCCAAAACAGAGTGGGGCAAGAAAAG